GGCAGGCTGAATGCAAGGGCTGACCAGGATTTCCCAAAGGAAACTATGCAGCTGCCAAGTCACACCCGTTGGGCCTGCCTGAGAACCTGCCACTAGGCTCCTCCTGCTGCCAGTGGCCCACACTCTAATTATGAAGGCATCCAATCTGGGGGCTGAGGCTGATTTAATTCACTTGGCCTTTGAAAGCCTAACATCCCTCCAGTCCACAGACATATTCCAGTGGCTGCCAGTCAGCTCAGTTGGTTACGCCAAGGTCCAGGATTCAATCCCTGTGCCAGCCAGACACCAAAAAACACAAACACAAAAAAATCACACTCGATCCTGCTCCTACCAGGTACAAAAAGCCCCAAGCTCCACTCACTATGCCCAGCACCCAGTGTACAGAGAAGCTTAATAAAAGCGGTTTCTGCAGAAACATTACAGATTAGCATTTCCTGAGCACACTCTGTTGGCTGGGATTTTGAGAAGGGGTCAGAGAAAGTAAGAAACAGTCCCTCCCATGAAGGAGCAGCCATTCCAACAGGGAATACCAGCCACATGTGTGAAAACTACAGATATATCTGGGAAACCATCTGTGAGCACACACAAGGATCATGTAAGGGGTTAACCACAAGAGCTCCACAGGCAGGACACGGATGGGGTTCAGCTTCCTTTTATCTCACCGCAGCCTCTGAGGACCCAGCCGTCTTCTGGGCTCCTCAATATACTACTCAGGGCTCAGACTGCTGGCAGAGCACCAAGCACCCACCCTTCTGTACGTCCTGCTATTGCTACACCAGGGGCTCCAAGATGAGTTAACTACAAGGCTGAGCCCAAGAATTCCTGAGGGTGCCCCTCTGCCCTGCCCTCTGCTCTCCTTCTCTTACCTCCCGGGAAGCTGAGTGCTATATTCCACCAGCATCATAACCACTCTTTCTTGATCTCTCCCTTTCCCCACCATCCTCTAACTCTCCTAGGCCCTATTTCCTTCTCGGACATTCTCATCCTCCCCCATGGCTTCAAGCGCCACCTTGGAGGCTCATGACACCTAAACTGGTAACATCAGCCCAGACCTCTTCTCTAAGCTCCAGATTTGATTTTCCAACATGATCAATTGTGGGTGAGGTGACCCACAGACCCTCAACAGACTTGTTAATGAATTCATCTTTCTCCCAAACCGTCTCCTCCAACATGCCTCACTTCAATGAACAATACCACCCATGTGGCCTTCAGCCAGTCCTGGTGAGTTGATCCCGCCTCTCCAGTCCCCACCCCATATGCATGCACCAGGCTCCCACTCCCAGCTTCCATTTGGATGACACTGCAGTGTCTCTCAGCGTCTCCCTGCCACCACCCTTGCCCATCATCTACTTGGTCACCAGAGCCAGTTTCCAAAACACAAATCTAATCACTGAAATAAAATGGAAAGACATAATTCAATCAGATCATTAGATAAGAAAGTGGATTAAGAAAATAAGGGGCTGGC